CATATAGAGTGGTTGTGTTCAGTTGCGGCTGATTGATTCAATAATATATCTCAAGTACCTAATATGTGACAGACACTGGTCCAGGTGCTTAAAATACAGTGATGAACAAGGCAGATAAAAATGCCTGCCTTAGGTTGTGGTGGCTTCTTGGCCAAAGCTAGCTACCCAGAGGGAGTGAGTAGCTGGACCTGCAGGCTCGGGACTATGGTTGCAGGGGACATCAAGCTCAATTGGCATAACATACTACACAAAAACATTGTTCTATATCCTACTTTGGTGAGTAGAGACTGGGGTCTTAAAAGATTGCAAGTGGCCATCTAGATGTAACGATGGGTCTCACCTTGTCCAGAGCAAAGAAAAATGAAGAAAACCAAAGATACCTGGAAACAATGAGCCCAAGGGATTGGTAGACCATGCAATCCTCAGCCTATATGACCATGACAGAACAGAAGGGCAGTATTTGCACAGGGAGATAGCTCAGGGGGCAGGCATGCAGAGGAAAGAAGGACACAGGAAAGAAGTAACTACAGGGAGGAAGTGGAAGAGAGCTGTTACACTATGGGGAACTGCAAACAATGTCATGAAACAAACTGTGTCAGAACTGCTGTATGGAAAATGAATTTGCTCTGTAAACTTTTACCCAAACCACAATTAAAAAAAAAAAAAAAAGCCTGCTTTTGTGAATCTTGCATACTAGTTGGGGACACAAACAATAAATAAGTCTACAGGGACAATGCAATTTGGCGTTAAGCACTCTGGAAAAAAAATAAAGCAAGATAAGGAGATGGAGTTACGGGGTGAGCACTAGTTTAGATGGGGAAAGGCCTCTTCGATCAGGTAAGATGTGAGTAGAAATCTTAAGGAATGAAGGAGTAAGGAAGAGGATATTAGAGCAAGAAAGAAGGAATCAGAAAGAAGCTAGCATGGCTGGAGTGCACAGAGATGTAACGGAAGACAAGGTCTGAGAGGTGATGGGGGAGGTGATGACAGACTATTTATAGCTTTAAAGGCTATTACAAGGCCTTTGGCTTTTCCTTGACTGACATAGAAGCCACAGGAGGGTTTTGAGCAGGGGAGGGACATCATCTGACTTCGGTTTTATTAGGATCCCTCTGGCAGGAGCTCTGGTGGTGTAGTGGTTAAGGCATTTGGCTATGTTCCGGTTACCTAGTGCCGCTCTGACAGGAAATATACCACAAAATGGGATGGCCTTAACAAACAGGAGTTTATTCTCTTACAATTTGGAGACTTTAAGTCCAAGTTCAAAGTGCCAGGCTCTAGGGGCTGGGTAAGCCCCTCAACCTTGGGGTCCAGCTCTGCCTCCTGCTCTTGCCCCTCTGGAGCTAGAGGCGTTTCTTCACTCAGACAGCTGCTGGGTGCTAAGGCTGAGAAGCCCAAGGCTGACAAGTAAAAAGGCACAGTCCCCATGTTACCAAACCACACGGCAGGCCATTAATTCAAGTTCATTGCAAGTCCCAAGGTCGGTAGAGCGTGGCAGGCTGCTGAACAACTACATGGCTACATGCAGGGTCGAAGCATGCCATATGCTAGAGACCGTTCCCAAAGCTGCTGCTTACATACGGGAAGCAGGCCACATACCCAAAGGCAGCTATTCAGCTGCTCACAGTAGATTCCACCATGGAGTTGATTACCAGTCTCATCATGGGGAATACTACATCCAGCTGCCCAGCCACTCAACCAGGCCCGGCCAAGTTGACACACAAATGTAACCACCACAGGCTGTTAACCAAATAAATAATAAAAGGTCGGTGGTTCAAGCCCACCAGCTGGGTTCCATCTCCATGGAAGAAAGATGAGGCACTCTGCTTCCATAAAGATTTATAGCCTTGGAAACTTGGAAACCCAATGGGGGTGCTATAAGTTGGAATGTCCTCTATGCCAATGAGTTTGGAGTGGTTTTCAGAATAGGCTGGGAGGGGAGGGGAGAGGCAGGCAAGCAGCGAGGAGGGTGGTGCAACAGTTCAGGCAGGAGATGAAGGTGGGCAGGACCAGGGTGGGGAGTGTGCAGGGGTCAGAAGTGGGTGGGTTCTGGCTATTCTTTGAAGTTCAGCTCGAACACGTTCTGATGAATGTTATGAATGAATGTTATGACAGGAAAGAGAAGGGCTAAGAGTGACTGTATGACATGCAGTGAAGATGCTGAGTTGGCAGTTGGATGTCAGAGTCTGGAGTTCAGGGAGAGGTCCAGGCTGGAGGAACCGTTTGGGCATCCTCATTCAAAGCCAAGAGACCGGATAAGATGAGGAAGAGAGTTAGATGGCAAAGAATGGGAGAGCAAGGCTTGAGCCCTGGGGATATTCCGACATCCAAAGGAGGAATCAGTGAGAGAGACTGAGAAAGAACCACCAGACGAGGAGGAACACCAGGCAAGCATGGGGCCCCGAGTGCCGGGGAAGACAGCGTTGCCATAAGGAGGGAGTGGTTGCATCAGATGTGGCTTAGATGCCAAGTCAGATGAGGACTGAGAATTGACCATTAGACCCAGCATTCTGGAGGTTGCTAGTAGCATTTCAGTGGCGGAGGGAGGGAGTGAAAGTCTGGTTGGAGGACTTAAATAAAACCTGGGAGGAGAAACTGGAGGCAGCAACTGTATCTGGAGAAATTTGGCTGAAAAGGGAAGGAAGGAGTGGGGCAATAGTTGAGTGGGAGATAGGATTTTGCCTAAGATGGGAGAAATTACACTGTATGTAGGTTGAGGGGAAAGATCCAATAGAGATGGGGCAATTGATGGAGCAGGAGAGGGTGCGAAGAGGTGCCCCGATGCCCGTGGGTAAGTGCGAGGGGAGGAATTCAGGGCAGGGATGGAGGGAAGGGCATGAAGGGATGGAGAAAAGTCAGCATAGCCAGCTAGAAACACAGAGCTGAGACCCAGTGAGAACTCTCTGTCCTGGGCCTCATTTCTTAGTGAAATGCACGTGGTTATTTACACATTACTTCCCCTTTATTTTGCCTTCATATGGCAGCTAGGACATTACATTGATTTCTTGGAATTTATGTGTGTAAATAGGCTATATTCTCCAGGAATTTCATTTCAGGATGGGGAAAGAACATTTACTAAGGGTACAAAATATTCCTACCTGGAACACCACTGGGGGGGAGCTCATTGGCCACTGCAAGGCCCATGAGGTTGAATAAAACTGCAGGAAAACAATCTCTCCCACAGGCAGGCAGTGGGGAGTCTCCTCTCTGGTCCCCATTTTCCCCATATATCAACATAATGAGTGGCAGTCTGACTTGCCCCAGTCTCTAAGCTCCCTTTTTCAGCTCTCAGCTGTTGCTGTCCAGTTGGTTTTGACTCATGGAGACCCCGTGTGTCACAGAGTAGAAGTGTTCCCTAGGGTTTTCCCGGCTGTAATCAATCTTTACGGAAACAGATCCCTAGATCTTTCTTCCGTGGTGCCACTGGGTGGATTTGAACCACCACCTAGCAGTTAGGAGGCTACCCAAAGGTTTGTAGTTGTGTGTGAACCATTCGCGCCACCCAGGAATCCTGGTTGGAGGTGCAAACCCACGTGAGGCACCTTGGAAGAAAGACCTGGTGGTTTGCTTCCAAAAGGTCACAACCTTGAAAACCCTGTGGAGCAATTCTACTCCGTGACACGTGGGGTCACCATGAGTCAGAATCGACTCATCAGTAACTAACAAGAATAACAACAGATGCAAATATTCCAAATGGGAGTAAATCCAGGAAGCCCCCCTGGAGGAAGAGAAGAAGAAAAGAGCTCATTATTAATATCTACTATTTATTGAGAAAGGAGTTCTAGTGGTGCTTTCGCCGCTACTAACCAAAAGGTCAGTGGTTTGAACCCACCAGCTGCTCCATGGGAGAAAGATGAAGTAGTCTGATTCCATAAAGATTTTCAGCCTTGGAAACCCTACAGGGCAGTTCCACTCTGTCCTAAAGAGTTGTTTTGAGTCAGAATCAACTCGATGGCAGTGGGTGGGTATTTATTAGGAGCAGGATCCCTGGTGGTGAAGTGGCTGCTAACGAAAAGGTCAGGGGTTCAAACCCACTAGGTGCTCGGTGGGAGAAAGATGCAACAGTCTGCTTCTGTAAAGATTTATAGCCTTGAAAACCCTATGGGGCAGCTCGACTCTGTCTTTTAGGGTTGCTGAATATGAATTTGACTCAACAGCAGTGAGTTTGATTTGGTTTTATTTATTGGGAAGGAAGCTTGGTGGGCTGTTAACCAGCTGGCTACCAAGAGAAGGGCTGGCAATCCAGTGCATTGAGGAGCTCTGACAGAGATGCTTGGAGACCTGCTCCAGTAAAGATTGTCGTTGTTGGGTGCCATCAGCTGGCTCTGACTAATAGTGATGCTCTGTACAAGAGAACCAAACACTGCCCAGCTCTGCTATCCTCATAGTTGTTACTGTGCTTGACCCTGTAATGGTTATAGCCCAGAAAACCTGGGGGCAACTCTGTCATATAGGGTCACTCCGAGTCAGCATCAACTCCACGACAACAACGTATCAGGAGTCCTTGGACTGTGTAAATGGTTAACATGCTCATCTGCTAACCAAAAGGTTGCAGGTTCAAGCCCACCAGAGGCAACTTGGAAGAAAGCCTTCTGAAAAACCACCCATTGAAAACCCTGAGGAGCTTAGTTCTGCTCTGATACACACGAGGTCGCCATGAGTCAGAATCAACCTGATGGCATTGGTTACTGTTCAGTGAGGGCACCAGGCCAGGAGATGTGTGACACATATCCTCACAATAGTCTAGAATCAGAGAGGTGAAGTTACTTAGCCAGGGTCACACAGCAAGCAGCATTTGAACCCTGGGCTCAGTGATTGCAAAGCCTGGGAGGTCCTGCCAGACAAGGGGAAGGAAGGAGGGGAGGAGCCCTCTGTAACAGTTGTCCCAGAATGGGTAAACAGGATGTGGTGTTGGATGAAACCTTCCTCCTTCCCCTATACCCCGCCTTCCCACCCCAGCCCTAGTCCTCACCCCTAGAAGACAGCAGAACTGAGAAAAGAAGAGCCCTTTGGACAGAAAAGCCATGGTCAGAGGGCCAGGGGTCATATGGGAAGGACTGGGAGTGGGGCTGGGGGGTGTCCCTGGGTGAAGCTGGGTTGTGGGATTGGACGTTGGGGGCTGGCAAGGGGGCTCAACAGTGCAAAGGGACCGGCTGGGGAAAGAGAGATTGTGGTTCCAGGTTTACCCAGGCAAGCAGACCCCTGGGTCTCCTGATGGTCACCCAAGGGTACCTGCCCAGGGAGGGAGGGGGGGCTGAGATCCAGCCTCCATGCTGCTCCTCATGCTGTGTGCCCTGGCAAAGGGTAGCATCTGCTCTGAGGAAAGGGACCTTGCTCCTAATTAGCATGAAGGCATCATATGGGCTAGCATATGTGGATGGAGAAACTGAGGCTCGGGGGAGGGGGCAACGACTGAAGCCAGCTCAGTTCTTACTGGGCTCCTCTGACAGTCTGACTCCCTGGTGGTGTGTGAGGTGGACCCGGAGCTGAAGGAGAGGCTGAGGAAATTCCGCTTTCGAAAGGAGACGGACAATGCAGCCATAATAAGTGAGTGACCTGTTCTCCTGCTGAAGGGGGTGAGGGGGTGGGGACGAGCAGGGACGGCTGGCCAAGCCTAACCCTCGTGTGTCATCCCTCCCCAGTGAAGGTGGACAAGGACCGGCAGATGGTTGTGTTGGAGGAAGAATTCCAGGTGAATGGGGCCCCCAAGAGGTCTAGGCACTGGGAGATCTGAGGGGCTGGAACGGATGCTAAGAGCCTGGCATCTGGGGCCAGAAAGACCTGAAGTCCACCTCACCTGTGACCCTAGCAGAGATTCTGGGGATTCTCTGATTCAATCTTTTGAATGGGTGTAGAGCAAGGACTGGCATATAGTAGATGCTCAGTAAAGTGATGATGATGATCATCATCATAATAATTGATAGGCACATTAAAAAACAAAACAGAATGCACTGCCATTAAGTCAATTCTGACTCATAGCGACCTCCATTGGGTTTTTGGGGCTATAAATCTTTACAGAAGTAGATAGCCCCCTCTTCCTCCTGCTGAGTGGCTGGTGGCTTTGAACTGCTGACCTTTTGGTTAGCAGCCAAATGCCTTATCCCCTACGCCACCAGAGCTCCTTGATTGGCACTTAGATGAGTAGAATTCCACATAAGTTAACAAAAGCTATTGGAAATCCTTTATCAAAGGGTGGATCTGACCATCTCTTAGTTGCAATATCTTTGTCAGTGACATGGGGATGATAATAAGGAGCTCTGGTAGTGTAGTGCCCAAGGCACCTGACTGCTAACCAGAAGGCTGGTGGTTCAAACCCACCAGCCACTCCTCGGAAGGAAGGTTGGGCAATCCTACTTCCATAGTGATACTGCCTCGGAAACCCATGGAGGGGTCGACGGCAAATAACAACAGCAACAACAACAGTGAAATGATGACAGTTTGAACCCAGATTCATATCAGAATTCTGCTGGTCACTGGGCAACATTCATGCAGCCCTTCAACACCTCTGGTCCTCAGTTTGCTCATTGGCAAAGTGGGGAGAATAACAGGCCCTACCTCCCCAGAGTCATGAGAAAGTTCAATGAGTCAGCCCATGTGCATGTCTTAGAACAACTCCTTAAAAACCAAATTCACTGCCATCAAGTTGATTCCGATGCCTAGCAACCCCCTTTGGGTTTCCAAGGTGGTACATCTTTACAGAAGTACATTGCCCAGTCTTCCTTCCATAGAGTGGCTGGTAGATTTGAACTGCCAGCCTTCTGGTTAGCAGTCAAATGCCTTAGGCACTACGCTACCAGAGCTCCTTAGAACAATGCCTTGGTACACAGTGAATGCTCACTTAATGGCAGCTGTTACTTTTCTTTTCTCCTACTTTTTGCCTCAGAACATTTCCCCAGAGGAGCTGAAAATGGAGTTGCCAGAGAGACAGCCCAGGTGAGAGACTGCCCAGGCACTGGGGAGGGAGGAGGGAGGAGGGAGGAGGGAGGAGGGAAGAAGGGATCAGGCCATGGGAGAGGAGGGGTGAAGATGGGGTACAGGTGAGGGACTGTCTGGGCTCCAGACTGATTCATGGGCTTGGCATCTCTGTGCTCGAAGCCAGGACGTCAGCCCTGGGGTCTTTTTGTCTGCTTGCTAATATGTGATTGTGGATTTCTACACTGATATTCACATATGATACTGGCTTAGAGTTGGGCTATTGGTACTAACTTTGCCAGGCTTTGGTCTCAACAACACACTTGCTTCATTTTAAAAAAGAAAAAGGATGTTTTCCTTCTTCTTCAGTGTTCTGGAGTACTTTAGGGATGAATACAAAGGCATTGTTTGACTTTGAAACATTAGGTAGAATCTTCTGTGAAGCCACAGGAGCCTGGTGCCTTTTGTTGTTGGGGACTGCGTTCTTCTATGAAAACTGGTCTGTTTAGATTTTCCATCTTGACTGGGGTCAATTTTGGGTACCGTAGGATTTTGAAAGGAGCCCTGGATGCACAATGGTTAAGGACTCGGCTAACTAACTGTAAAGGTCCATGGTTCAAACCCTGTGCTTCTCTTTGGGAGAAAAGACTGGACAGTCTGCTCCTGTAAAGATGCCAGCCCAGGAGACCCTCTGGGGCGGTTCTACTCTGTCCTGTAGAAGGGCTGTGAGTCAATCAGATGGCAGTGGGTTTGGTTTGGGCTTTGCTTCTGTAAAGATTACAGTCCAGGAAGCCCTATGAGGCAGTTCTACTCTGTCATATGGGGCTGCTGTGAGTTGGAATCAACTCTATGGCTCACAGCAACAGCAACAACAGAATTTTGAGGAGGCCCTGGTGGTGTGAATGGTTAACGCCCTCAGCCGCTAACTGAAAGGTGAGAGGGTCGAGTCCATCCAGAGGTGCCTCAGAAGGCAGGCCAGGTGGTCACCAAATACCCCACGGAGTTCCAGTCTGGTACACATGGGGGCAGCATGGGGCAGCCGGTAACTGTTGGAGGACTGTGAGCTGCTGTCCCAGGCTCTCGGTAAACAGAGTCTGCCCGACAGTTACGCCCCACAGCCCATGTCCACCTTGCAAACATTTGCTCTAAGTTCTACAGGGAACCGGTTTATGCCAGCCCCGGAGCCCCCAGGGAGGGCTGCAGGAAATTTAGTCAAGTCTGCCTGGAAGGCCTAGAAACCCTTCTGAACCTCCAGGGCCAGGGCCAGTCTCCTAGACAGTGTCAAGTGCAGTAGCACAGAGCCTCACCCCTGGGCGGCCTTCTGGCTTGTGGGTTTATGCTCTGCTGTTGCCTTCTGGAATCTGAATCGTTTCCTCTTTGGATTTGGGTTTTGTAAGTTGAAGGCCTCAGCTGACATGAGGTCCCAGTCACCCAGTCCCCAACTCCCCACCCCACCCAGGGACCATGCCTGCCCTCCTGGGGGAGGCTGGGGTCTGGCTGGTATCCCCTGCACGATGGGCTGCAGGGCAGCCTCCCCTTCTCACCCCCTCCAACCCACGCTGGGAGGGTCTGCACTCACCCTGTGAATGTCCCCATGCCCTGGAGTGTTTGACATCAAATAGCAAATAAAAACCCACCCTGACAGGTCTAGAGGGACTGGATGAAAAGAAACAGGGTTTTTCCTGCGTTTTGGACAAGGGGCCCCCTTTTTCACTTTGCACTGGGCCCAGCGAAGGAGCGTGCCTCACAGCCTGGGACACAGAGTGCTGGGCAGGACTGCATAGAGGTTGAGCGCTTACACCTGGTGCAGCGTTTCCTAGGCTCAATCTTTCCTCTACCCAGAGAGGCTTGCTTGGTGAGTGACTTCTGTTCTCCGGGCCTCAGTTTTCCCATCTGTAGGCCTACTTCACAGGGTTGTTGGAAGAGGCAAGTATGTACTTGCTATGGCTACCTTTAAGAAGTTCTGGTGGTACAGTGGTTAAGGCATTTGGCTGCTAACTAGAAGGTTGCTGGTTCAAGCCCACTGGCAGTTCTGCAGAAGACTGGGCAGTCTGCTTCTGTAGAAGTTTACAGCCTTGGGGAAACCCAATGGGTTCTAGGCCTTCCAGGCAGACTTGACTAAATTTGCGGCAGGTTCTACACCCAAGGAGGCCCTCCCTGGGGGCTCCCAGGCTGGCATAAACCAGTTCTTTGTAGAACTTAGAGCAAATGTTTGATGAGATGGCAGTAGGCTTTGTTTTGGTTACCTAGTACCACTCTGACAGGAGTATACCACAAATAGGATGGCCTTATCAACCAGGAATTTATTCTTACAGTTCAAGAGGCTAGAAGTCTGAGTTCAAAGTGCCAGGCCCTAGGGTCTGGGTGAAAGCTCCTCCACCTTGGGATCCAGCTCTGCCTCTTGCTCCCGGCCCACTGAAGCTGGAGGCATCTCTTCACTCAAGCAGCTACTGGCTGCTGAGCCCGACAAGCTCAAGGTGGACAAATAAAAAGGCACAGTCCTGATGTTATCAAACCACACGGCATGCCATTAATTCAAGCCCATTTTAAGTCCCAAGGTCAGCAGAACATGGCAGGCTGCTGAACAACAACACAGCTACATGCAGGGTCCAAGCGTGCCCTAAGCTAGAGACCATTCCCAAGGCTGCTGCTTATATACGGGAAGCAGACCACATACCCAAAGGCAGCTACTCAGCTGCTTGGGGTAGGTCCCACCATGGAGTTGACTGCCAGTCTTATCATGGGGAATGACTACCACCAGCTGCCCAGCCACTCAACCAGGCCCAGCCAAGCTGACACACAAACATAACCACCACAGGCTTTTTCTTTTTTGAATGATTACTTGTTTCATCATTTGTTGTGTTTAAGGCCAGTACCCTGGGTTCTCAGGCTAGGTGAAGATTTCCAGGCTGCGTCTGGGGTAATGGGTGTTGGGCCTGGGCTCCAGGCCAAAGTTCTGAATTTGAATTCTCTTTCACTCGTGTAGATTCGTGGTCTACAGCTACAAGTATGTGCACGAGGACGGCCGACTGTCCTACCCTTTGTGTTTCATCTTCTCCAGCCCTGTGGGTGAGCCGCTCCTCCATCCCTCCTGAGGGCCTTAGGCTCTGGTGCGTGAGTGTATGTATGTGAGTGTGTGGGGGTGACTGTGTGTGTGTGTATGACTATACATGAGTGTGTGGATGTGTGTGCGAAAGGGTGTGCATATATGAGAATGTGTGACTGGGTCAGAGAGTGTGTGTGTGAGAATGTGTGCAGGTGCCTGTGTGTGTGGGCACCTATGTTAGAGTGTGTGTGGCTGTATGTGTGTGAATATGTATAAGCACCTGTGTCACAGTGTGTGTGCCTGTATGTAGTGTGGCATGTGTAGTGTGTGTGAGTGTATCAGAGTGTGTGAGTGTATCAGAGTGTGTGTGAGTGTGGAATATGGGGTGTGTGTATTTGTGTGAACGTGCTCTGTGTGTGAGTGTTGGAAGGGCAGTGCTGTGGGGTGAGGGCTCAGATTCATCACAGAGCCCACCCATCCCTCTCAGTCCTGAGGCCTAAGCCAAGGCACTCTCCCTTTTATCTAGAAATCCAACTCTGGCCCCCAAATTGTCTCCAGGGACCCTCGGAATCACTTCGAGGCCCCCAAACAAACCTAGGAACTCTGGTAGAGCCTCCAGGCACCTCCATAGAACGACTCTTAGAAAACCCCAAGGTCTGCAGTACCCTGTGGAGTCCGAGAGAACACTCCGGGGACCCCACTGACGCGCCCTCCTCTTTTGCCTCACAGGCTGCAAGCCCGAACAACAAATGATGTATGCGGGCAGTAAAAACAGGCTGGTGCAGACGGCAGAACTCACAAAGGTCCGGAGTCCAAGGGAGAAGGGGGCTGGGCTCCGGAACCTGGGAGGAGGGGGCTTGAGCCGTCACCGTCTGGGTTCCTGAGTCCATAATGACGTTGAGCTCTCTCCCTACCCAGGTGTTTGAAATCCGGACCACCGACGACCTCACCGAAACCTGGCTAAAAGAGAAGTTGTCTTTCTTTCGTTGACCTATAGGCCGGGGACCTGAATTCCTGATATCTGAGTCCTCAAGAGAATTGGGGACATACATCTCTGCACGCGTAATAGCCTAAAGAAATTAAAGACGCAAGAACTCAGAGATGCTCGGTTCGGCCGTTTCTCTCTGTGGGCGCGAGCCGGCACGACCTGCAGTGCCAGCCTCAGGCCAGCAGAGGGCGAGCAGACCAAATGGAACTGCGAGTTGAGTCCCAACTCGAGGAGGAAAGCGCACACCTGCCCCTCGGAAAGGGGAAGGGGGCACGTGTAGAGTTTCCTAGGGGAATGGAGGAGGTCTGGGACTCCTGGAGAGATTGGAGGAGTATCTGATTCCACGGACAGGTCATTCCCAAGGGTACAAGGACCCTGCTCAAAGCAGGCAGAGACCCTGTTCCCCTTCCTCTCCCCTCCCCTCCCCAGCTGGGGCCAGCAGGCATTAGCTCGCACTGGATGCGGCTGTTTTCAGCTGAGCCCCTAGGCGGGAAGACTTTAAAAGGAGGAAAGTTGTTGAAGGCTCAACCATCATTGCTTCAGGGGCTCGGCAGGGTGGGGGTGGGCGACTTGTGAGGTCGGCTAGGCCTGTGGGCCCAGGGCTGGGAAAGGAGAAGAGGATCTAACATCGTCAGTGGACCCCTGGAGAGCTAGGAGGTTGAGGAGACAGGCCAAGGATACCCCAATACCCCAGCTGGACCCCCTCTGGAGACTCTTCTTTCCTTTCTCTTGGCATCTCTGGTTACCTGACTCAGGCTTTTTGTCTCTGTGTCTCTAAGCGACATTTATTGGGTGCCCACAGTGTACCAGGCTCGGAGAATTCCAATATGGCCAGGTGGTGACAGAGATGAATGACACTATCTCTCTCTCTTCCTTTCTCTGAGTCTCCTTCCTGTCTGTGATTTTTCCCTTCTCTGTCCCCAGATTCAGGGCCCTGGGAACTCCCCCCCCCCCTTTCCAGGTTCCCTGTAGAGAGGTGGCTGTTGCCATGGTAACAATGACACAGTGACCTTGGGCCTGGACTGCCCCTCCCCTAGCCCTGTCTTCCCTGGGGAAGGGCCTACAAGCCCAGCTCCAACCCCACCTACTCCCTTCTAGCCATAAGATACCTTCCCCTCACTTCCTTACCCTGCCTCATCCCTTGTTTCCTTGTCCCCAATGGAGAAGCCAAGCCCTCTGCATGAGGGATTCAAGATGGTTACTCTCCATTGAGTTGTAGAGAAAGTTCCCTTCTGTCCCCAATTTTCTGGGGAAGTTAAGCTCCTCCCCTATTTCACTCCAGGCATAGCCCTTCCCACTCCAATCTCTCTGACAGAGATCTCTCTCCCTCTCTCTTCTGATTACATCCCCCGTCCCTGATAGCTGGAGATGGAAGAGGAGGAGGGCTGAGGCCAGAAGGAAGGGGTCATTCAATTAATAGGTCAAGGAACTCCTGGCCTAAGGAGGTCAGAAAAGCAGAGAGGTTTGTCCAAGGTCATGCATGCACTTACATAATCACATGAAGACTAATCGCTAGCTCTCCCATCGCGGGCTTCCTAGGTGCCAAGTACAGCTAGAAGTACTTTACAAGGACACTAACTCATTCAATCCTTGCAATAACCCATGAAGAGAGTACTACTGGTATCTCCATTTTACAGATGAGGAAATTGAGGCACTCAAGTAAAAAATACTTGCCTGAGATTTCATGGCTAGTAGTCTGTGTAATTAGAACTCAAAACCAGGGCTTTCTAGTGGCCAATGGCTACACCCTCTCTTAGGAAGGGATCAGTCTCCTCTGTGCGGTCCCTTTCCTACCCAAGTTGAACTCTATCTGCAGCCAGGCTCATTGTTGCCGACAATCCAGTCAGAGAAAGGCATGTTCAAGGACTTGACCAATCAGAAGCAAGGAATAGGATAGGGCCATCCAATGCAGAGTGTGTATGGCTACGGGGATAGTGGAAGGACAAATAAGAAAGACCAGACCACAGCATACGATCCAATGAAGAGTCAGTATAATGGGGCGTGGCCTTGGCTGGGTGGTGGTGACCCAGAGAGAGTACAAGTTGAGGGCCACCTCCCATCTTCCCAGCAACTGCCCCTTTATAACCAAGTTCTAGGCTTTCCCTGGGGTACCTCTTCCTCCTGACTTTGAAAGGAACCCTGCTGGCATAGTGGTTAAGAGGTTGGCTGCTAACAGAAGGGTCAGTGGTTAGAACCAAGCAGCAGCTCCAAGGGAGAAAAATGTAGCAGCCTGCTTCCCTAAAGGTGGTGGTGTTGGGTACCCTTGAGCCTGTTCTGACTCATAGAGCTCTTATGTACAGTAAAAGGAAACATTGCCTGGTCCTACACGATACTCACAACCATTGCATCGTTGCAGCCATTTTGTTAATTCCGTTGAGGGTCTTCCTCTTTTTCGATGACCCTTTATCAACCATGATGTCCTTCTGTTTGGAAACTCTATGGGGGTAGTTCTATGCTGTGTTATTTCTCTGCCTCAGACAGAAGAATTGATGCCTTTAAATTGTGATGTTGGTGGAGAATATTGACTGTCCCATGGACTGCCAGGAAAACTAACCAATCTGTCTTGGATGAAGTACAGCCAGAATGTTCCTTCAAAGCGAGGATGGCTTCCTCTCACATCCTTTGGTCATGTTTATGAGGATGGACCAGAGAAGGGCCTCATGCTTCCTGGAGAAGGGAATCATGCTTGTATGTAGAGGGTCAGCAAAAAAAAAGGAAGACCCTCAATGAGAGGGATTGACACTGTGGCTGCAGCGATGTGCTCAACCATCGCAATGACTGTGAGGATTGTGCAGGGCCAGGCAGTGTTTTGTTCTGTTGTCCATGGGGTCCCCATGAGTGAGGACCAGCTCAACGGCCTAACAATGATACAAAACAGAATCAATTCAGGGATCATCCGCACGGTAACAGGTAACCTTGAAAGTGGGCAGGGTTTACTTTGGAGAAACTAACGACTGGACTTTAGGTCATAGCTGAGTGGGCCAGACCCCATGGCATGAGGGGCCATGCATAAACTGCTGAAATAAGCTTTTGCAGTGGAGCCTAAGTGGAGGGGTGGGGCCTAAGTTGAAGAAGGCTGAGTAGTATTTTGGGATGGTGTTTAAGGTGAAGGGGAGGGGTGGAGAGGTGGGGCTGGACCATAAACATGGGACCTAGTCTCGAGGGGCATTGCTTAGGTCAAATAAATCCAAAACCACCAAATCCACTGCCATGAGATAAATTCCGACTCATAGTGCCCCTACAGTACAGGAGTCAAACTGCCCCATAGGGTTGCAGGGCTGTAAATCTTTAGGAAAGCAGATTGCCACATCTTTCTATGTTAGAAGCTCTAGGGTCAGGAAAATAATGACCTTATATTCTTCCCCCTGTTGTTATTTTTCAGGCCAACTCCCACCCCTCTGACTTTATGGGCATATATTCCTTCTCTTCCAGCCACCCCAGGTTGAGGGGTTGTTTTATTACTGACTGTGGCCCCTGCAGTGAGGTCTGGAGTAGGCTTTTTTCCCTAGCCCTCTCCCAAGAACTATTCAAGAACACACAGGGGGCAAATTATGATAACTTCTTAGGCACAGTCAACTACTCTGATGGGGCTCATTGTTGAACCTATGGGCTCTGGACCATGGTCTCAGGGGACATCAAGTTCAATTGGCATAACATACTACACAAAACATTGCTTTATATCCTACTTTGGTGAGTATTGACTGGGGTTTTAAAAGCCTGCAAGTGACCATCTAGGTGCAACAATGGGTCTCTCCTCATCCAGAGCAAAGAAGAATGAAGAAAATCAAAGATTAATGGTAACAATTAGTCCAAAGGATTGGTAGATCATTCAGTCCTCAGTCTATATGACCACAAGACCAGAAGAACTAGATGGTGCCCAGCTACCACTGTCAACCACTCAGAGGGGGATGTAGGAGAGCTTGCATAGTGGGAGAACAATGTGGAACAAAACTCAAAATCATAAAAAAGACCAGGTTTACTGGGCTGATAGAGCCTGGTGAGACCCCTGAGACTGTGGTCCCTAGTTACCCTTTAGGTCCGGAACTCAACTCACTCCTGTGGCTTCCAGCCAAACAATAGACAGGCATATGGGGTGAACAATTACATCAAGTAGATACACTCTTTAGATCAATCATGGCGGAACAGAAGGGCAGTATTCTCACAGGGAGACAGCTCAGGGAGCAGGAACGCAGAGGAAAGGAGGACTCAGGGAAGAGGTAACCACAGGGAGGAAGTGGGAAGAGAGCTGTTGCATTGTGGGGATTGCAGTCAATGTCAAGAAACAAAATATGTATGAACTGCTGATGGAAAATGAATTTGCACTGTAAACTTTCACCCAAATTACAATAAAAATTTTAAAAAAATTAAAAAAAAAACAACCAAACTCACTGCCACTGAGTAGTTTCCCACTCATAGTGACCCCCACTGGGTTTCTGAGGGTGTAAACCTTTACAGAAGTAGATCACCCCATCTTCCTTCCACGGAGCAGCTGGTGGGTTTTGAACTGCTGACCTTCCAGTTAGTAATCAAGTGCCTTATCCCCCACGCCACCAGAGCTCCTGCTGGATGCCTAGGGTGTACTTATTGCTGTTTTGGACTCTGGAAGAAACTGGTGCCCGGGCCATCCCCTTAGGAGGTTTACATTTGAAAGATTAGGCAATGAACAAACAGGTAAACAAATAAGATGATTTCAGAGGATGGTAAGTGCTCTGAGGGGATGTGATAGAAATGGTGAGATATGTTGACGCTGTTTTGGGTTGTCTCTTAAGCATCTTTCTAAGGAGCCCTGGTGGCTCAGTGGTTAAAGTGCTTGGCTCCTAACCAAAAGGTAAGCAGTTTGAACCCACCAGCCACTCCAAGAAAGATGTGGCAGTCTGCTTCTGTAAAGATTAGAGCAACTCTACTCTGTCCTCTAGGGACGCTGTAAGTCGGAATCCACTACACCACTGTGGGTTTGGTTTTGGCTTTGCTTTGGTGAAGATTTACACCGTCGGAAACCGTATGGGGTCAGTTCTACTCTGTCCCTCTAGGGGCGCTGTGAGTCAGAATCTATTTGGTTTTTTGGGGGAGGTTCTTTAGTCTAATTCTAGAAGAGTCCTCTTGCTCCCTCCC